GACAACCGTCCTCATCGGTGGTACAGCGTTTGCCAAGTCTCCTGGGAGGTGAACGAGGAAGGAATACGTTTGCTTTTTTTTCTGCAGCAAGATTGAGTGTCCAATGTTCAGAATGTGAATGTATTGTTGTCTTTTGAAATAAAAGTTGTAACGACTGCAAACTGTGACTGGAAGCCCGCCTGACTCTTGCCTGCAGGTCCTCTGTGCCCTGGGAGCTTCGCTTCCCGAGTTGCGAGTTGCCTTGACTTTGGGGAGATGGAAATCGTGTTGCCTGTACCCCACACGCCTCTCCCGGCATCCCCTTAATTGGCAGTTGGTGAAATACCCGTGGTCAGAGGTACAGGGAAAGACACACGGGGTGGTGCATTTTTTCTCTTGCGCTAGACAGCTCTTGCCCTGGTTTTCTCCAAGCGAGGTGAATTCTAAAAGCAACTGCTCTGCCCCGAGGGAAGCCCGCGCTGGGCAGCCCTGGGGCGAGGCGGAGCATCTCCTTCAAATGCAGCTCTGGTGAGTTCTGCGTCCCGACCCTAGTCAGCTCCGGCAGCCTGATGCTCCTCACTCCCCGGCTGGCTGCAACTGCCTGGAGCAGAGCCTGTATCGATGTTGCCATGGCAACACCGCCCCTCCTCCCTTGTGAGCTGCAGCTTGCCCCTGTTCACAATTGAATAATTCCCCATTGAGCTGTCACAATTAATTGGTAGATTCTTATTAGCCTTTTTAGAACCACACTGGGCCTGGGCCCAGCCTGGCACCTCAGAGCATTTCACAGTGTTTTTCCCGTTCTATTAGAGACTTAGGTTCCCCGGTAGCAGCTCTCAATCCTCGACAGCCTGGAAAGTCACTTCATTAAGGGGTGACAGATCTGAGCCACAAGAAGAGGCGGGCTGACTGGGGAGCAGAAATGAGATGGTGGGGTGGGACAGGGACGCGGGAGTCGGAGCTTCGCCTTATGCTGAAGCGAGCTGCTTGGAGCACGTGTCCTGGGCTCAGGGCCGTGGTGGTGGGGGCCAGCAGTGACGCAGAGTCTGGGAGGCACGGTGTTCCCTTTGGCCTCTGCCACTGGCGAGGGAGGAAAGAGCCGGGAGGCCTCTTGCTAATGTGACAGGTTGATGGGGGGGGGGGCGGTCTTTGTGGGTGAAAGAGGTGAACACTCGGCCCTGAAGCCTCGGAGGGAAAGCTCATGAAACCAGTCAAGGACAGCCCCGCTGCGGAGGCCGTACAACACGGGGTGGCCAGAGGAGGCAGGCAGGGTCGTAGCCTGGGCTCTCACCCCGGCACATGCTAACTTCCACTCTGATACGGGGGAGGCGAGGCAGCATCCTGGAGTAAGTACTCCAGCCTGTAGCTCATTTACATACACAAAGAAGCCAGAGAATGTGCTCTCGACACACCAGGGGAAACACAGCAGACCAAGGGCAGAGGGACGCCCTGCAGCAAGGTCCCCGGCCCATGCGCTCGGGCCAGCTTCTGCTCTCAGGACGAAAGGAGCCAACCCGCAGTGACTAACGGTGAGAGCTGAGAACCTGGAGGTCACCGAGCGGGGGAAGACACTCCCGCACATGTTTATGCACGCTGTGGGTATGCACCGGCTGGCTTTTAATTTAGTAGGATTAAGTTAACCTCGATGGAGAAATCTGAGATAAAGGGGGGAGGGGGAGGGGGAGGGCCTTCAAACAGTGGATAACCTGTCATTAGGCTTTCATCATTAAACAGTAATCAACAACAAAGCTGTCCTCTCCAGTTGCTTGTACATTCGAGTTCAATAAACCTGAAAATCAGAACAATCAAACTGCTACGGGCGTTGATCTGTTAAATCCACTCCCACTGCATTTGGCTAACCTTCCTCTTTAACCTCCCCACACCTCTCGACCCCCCGGCTCTGTAAAGGTTTGGGGGTCTCTCATGCCATCCCCACACAGCCCTCCCTCCTTGGTGGAGAAGATGACTCCCCAGATTAGTGAAGGTGAGCCTCTTCGGAAAACATCTGCTTTGGAAGCAGGGCGATTACGCTCCCCCAGCGGCCTGGCCGGCTCCACCTGCTGTGGCCATGCTGTCCTCCGGCCCAGGCACCAGAGAGCCGACGCATTCACTCGTGCTATGCATTCAAGACACATAAAAAAACACTCCATCTTGGTGTGCAGATCTCCAGGTATTTAGCTCTTAAAATGGACGGGGAATATTTGCCGGTATTTTCTTGCATTTTTGAAATATTAGTATGTCCAAGAAAAGAAGAGGTTGTGGGTGGGGGCAATAGCAGACCATCAGGCAGCAGCTGTGGTAAGTGAGGTGTCAACTCACCCAAACAGTGCCCCAGGGCCAAAGATGCTGCAAGGCACACACCGGGGGAGACCCAGACCCAGGCAGGGGCTTCCACCTTCCAGGCCGGCAGCCGGGGCCCGGCCCGAGAGGGGGGCGACCACGGAGGAGGGCTGACACCGAAGACAGGGGATACCATGGTTGGGCAGTCTTGTCCCACCTAACGTCTTCTGTATGAAGACGACAGTTGGACATGGGCCCCCCAGAGCGCTCAGCTGAAGAGTGCCGTCTATAAAACACCCCTGGTGCCGAGAGGGCTGGGTAAGCTGTAGTTCTCACTTCTCCTCTTTCATGATGGAGTGGGGGAGGCAACCCTGGCCCTGGAGCCCCGATCGATGCGGATCGTGCTGTGGCCACCTGGACTGCCAACAGATGAGTCCGGCACAGTAGGCGTTAAGCGGGCACATGCTGTGTGACCTCGGGCTAGCTATCGCACATCTCTGAACCCGGCTTTCTCACCCATGAAAGGAAGACGGTCACAGAACCTCCCTCGTTAATTCTGAAAAAGGTGTGGGGGTTTTCCATGGTGATGCGGAGTGCATCCGTAGAGTAGCTAAAAGCACTGCCCTGTGAGCTGTAATTCTAAAAAAAATGTTCATTGCAACCTAACACACATCTGGAACGCACTCCAATTCTAAGCGTGGTTGGATGGTTTCCAGCCAGTGACGCACCCATTAGCCGGCACCACCCAGGCTATGCACCCCGCGTCGCCCGCCCCTCTGACCTCTTCCACCCAACCACATGCCCGTTTAGGTGTCGCCGCGCTGGGTCTGACGGCTGCCCGGCACCACGTACCGTGGAGTGGGGCGAGTCTGCCCCTCCCACTCCCAGTGACCCGCTACATTCCACAGTGCAAACACACCACCCATACCTATTCCGTTCCCCTCTTGGTGATTGATTTCAGTCTAGGGATCTCAAAGGTTTTAAAATTTTTGAGGCTGGAGGCCTATACGTTTCGAGGTAACCATGTCAACAGCAGCTGCCCACCTTCCGGGGCCTGGCCCTTGGGTGCCCACTCCTTGGTTCTGGAGCTCAAAGGCATGACTTGGACCTTTGACCACTGTTGTGGTGTGCACACAGGTATGTCTTCCTGGGGCTAGATCCAGTCCCCACTAGGTTCTCAAGGGGTTCTGTGACCTAAGAGGTTCAGGATCACTGACCTAGAATGGCGAGACCCAAGTAAGCTTCTTCAGCTCGCCTGACACTCGTTGACGATGCTCACTTTGGAGAAGAGCTTTCTGAGACCCCTGTCTCACGCCACTACGGCTGCCAGAGTGTCTGGCGTGTACACAAGGCCTTGTCCTGGTCTCACCGCGTGGGAGCCGTGACTGGACGAGCTCTCTGTGGGCGTTGGGAAGACGGGACAGCCCACCCCGTCTGCAGGGCTGCTGTGAGGAGTCCGGGACCCATGCAGCCTGACCCAGGGGAAGCAGCCATCAGCGGGGACTTGTCACTGCAATCCCACGTCCTCTTTCAGACTGAGAGCTGTCCCTCAAAGGGAGAGTCTGCTCCCCATGGAAAAGCCCCCGACTCAGGAGCTCTGGTGTCCAGTGACGGCTCTGCCACTGACCCACCCTGCGACCTGGGCCTGTTTCTGCCTCCGTGAGACGAGGAGAGCTGTTCCCCGGTCCCACCTGGGGCCACGCCACTCGAGCACACACCGCGGGTCCCACTGACCCCGTCCCGGGCTGGTGTTTCTACTGCCCCTGCCATGGAGTGGCACAGCTCGCTGCCCAGGTCTCTGGGAGAGAGGCTCCACTGGACCGTGTCTTCACTGGGCTCTGGTGGACGGGACATGCGTTCTCTGACAGGCCTGCTAGCTTAATAAGTATCATTAGCAGGGGCAGCTACTCACTTCCCCGATGTCCACTTTCCGAGCTGTCAGCTGACGTCAAATGGAGATTGAGGACGCGTCAGCACCCCCTCGGGAGGTCCCCATGGGAGAGGCTGCACCGAGGCCCTGGCCGGTGGCTCCATCCCCTCACAGGCCAGCACACCATGCTCTTCTTCGTCCACTGAGAAATAAGATGCCCGGAGCACTGAACACAAGTGAACGGAGGGCGCTCTGGGGACTGATGACAGCGGCCAAAAGTGAGTTCAAATGCAAAAAGGAAAAAAAAAGCCCCTGGGGAGGGCCGAACACTTTGGGGCCAGAGAGGAATCCGGGATGTGAGCTCCTCCCCACCTTCCAGGGATGCCTGTCACCGCTGACGGTGGCCCTCCTTCCCTACGCCAGATGGCTGCGGCCCGTGTGGGAGCACGGCCCGTTCTCGGGGCTGCCGAGGAGCCAAGGTGCTTGCTGGTGCAGAGGGGCCTGACGCGAGGGCTGGCTGGTGACACGGCTGGCGCGGGGTCCTGCGTGCTCTCTCCTGTCGTGTGAGACCCAACATGGCGTGGCCTCCAGCCGCTTTGGGAAATCCTAGCTCCCTCCCAGCCCACGCGCGCGCCGGGGCTCTGAGGATGACAGGGAAGAATTACGGACCACAGCAATTCACCCATGGTCTGGTGTTGTAAACATTTATTTAAAAAATACTACGGAGGAGAGACGTGGATTCAAAAAAACACAGAGTCATATACAGAAAACAAAATATACTGAACCAAAGAAAAAAAAAAAAGACACCATAGGCATTCCAGAAGGGAGGACAGTGGAAAACTATTTACACGTCATTTATAAAAGAGCGAGTCTACAAAAGAGTGTAATACCAAAGTATAAATGCAAAATATAGTGGCACATCGTGTGAACGGGAAGAGACAAGTACCTCATAGAAACGGGCAGTGGAGGGGACCTGGTGGGCGTCGCTCCGCTTCATCTGCAAGGCCACTGGCGGTGTTTGGGCACCCTCCCCCTCGGTCTGCGTGGCACAGCAGCCCGGGGGGGCAAAGAGGTGAGGCGCTGTGAAAACAGCATAAAACGACCCAGAGGAAACCATCTCTATCAGAGAAATAAAAGACAAACTCAGGTGATTAGTGTAAAAACGCGGCCCGTGTGAGGTCATGGGCACGGGGCGGCCTGGGGAGCAGGTGGGAGGCGGTCTCCTCCTGGCTTCTCTGGGGGTTCTCCTGAGCAAGGCCCAGGCAGGTGCCGGCCTACTCTTCAGTAGCGGCTCTCGGTCAAGGTCAAGGGCAGGTGGGTCCCTGCCCCTGAACTAGTCCGGGCAGCACGGGGAGGGGACGCTGAGGACTGCTCTCTGAGACGCTTCCTGGGGTTTCCTCTGATTCTCCATCCCTGATGACTCCCGCCGGAACGCTGGGATAAGTGTTGCTTGTGGTAATTCAATAAGCTACGTGCCCCTTGGGGCGCGGCCCACGTTGGGCGGGGCTTCCGTGCCCTAATCCTTTCCCTCCTGCGGGTGTGCTGGGCGCCCGATGCTGGCTCCTCCTCTGTGGGGAGGCAGCTGTGCTGAAGGCAGTTTGGAAATGCTTCAAGAACTCTGGAAAGCTGAAGACTGGCTTGTCACCAGGGAAAGAGCCCTGCAAGAATCTATTTTGCCTTAGAGGAGCACGATGGAATGGAAAGAGATCAACTGGGAGTGAAGACTAAGCGCCTTGTCAGGGCCCCTGGGAATTCAGAAGGAAGGTAACTGCGCTCACTGCTGACCTGCCCAGGCCCTGCTCTGGGCCATCCTGGGCCCAGCTGCACCCCCAAGCTCACCACCCCCTCCAGCCTCTGGGGCCCCCGTGTGCTCCCCCGTGACCCTGCTACCCTCCAGACTCAAGCTTTCTATCCAGGATGAGCAGTGCACGTCACAGGAGAGTGGGCGATGGGGCCCTGAGGACCTGGAGACGATGATGAGGAAACCACCCCCATCGCAGACTCCTCGGCTTCCCCTGGGCCCGGGACCCAGAGGCTGGCTGGTGGCAGCGCCCTGGCCTGTCTCAGCCCCCAGTCAGGAGCCATCCTTCATGAGGAGAAGGGTTGGGGGGGGGGGCGGGGTGACCCCTGGGCTGCACTTCCCGGGATGTGGCTCTGGACACGTGTCCTCAGCAGGTGGCCCGAGTGAGCCAAGTGTACACTCGCTGCCTGGGGTGAGTGGAGGGGACAGTCCCCAAGCCCTGCTGACTCAGCTCCCGTTCAGGGTGCTCCTTCCTTGGGACAAAGGGGGTGAAGGCAGAGCCAGTGGAGGTCCTCCAGGGATGAAGATGGAAAGGAAGTGCTCATCGACCTTCCCGCCTGGCCCCGAGGGCTCAGTTTTGAAGCCCCACGTGGGGGGAGGAGGCTGGCGTGCCCACTGCAGTCCACAGAGCGGGAACTCCACAGACAGAACTCGGGTGAAGCTCCGGGGGCCAGGCGGAGGGGGGAGGCGAGCGCAGGAGGACAGCGGGCAGGACAAAGGCAGTGGCGCCATGCTCCATGGCGGCCTCCGCTCTGCCTGGCACAGAGCTCTGGGCCAAGCTCCCCATGCGCGGGTCCTGCTGGCCGACTGCCTGCCGTCTCAGGCACGCACGGGGAGCCCTCGGGCGCTGCCGGCTCCTGCTACCTCTGCACGATGTCACTGATCTCCTTCACGGAGCTGAGGAGCTTGCTGAAGTCCTGAGTGGCCGCTGGGCCACCCCCTGCTGTCGCTGGGCAGATCTGCAGCTCCCGGAGGTTGTTCTCCAGTTTGTTGATGGCCTCGCGGAAGGCGAATTTGTTCCTCATTTGCTGGATGGAGTCCACATAGCTCACGCAGAAGGTGTAGAGGTTTTTGCCGGCTTCGAGCACGGCGCTGTGGCTGGCCATCTGCTCAGAGTTCTTGGAGATGGCCAGGCACAGCGCCTCGGTGCCATCCAGCACCATGCCCTTGGTGATGGCGCCACTGGCGAGCCGCTCAGGAGGCTGCCGGGTTTTCCGAAGAGACACGCGGGTTGATATGAGCGGGATGAAGGCGGTGGAGGATGGTGGGTCCCCGGCCAGGGCAGAGGGTGCTGATGGTAAGGGGGCGGGGGCGGGGCTGGTCGGGGTCCCTGCCGGCTTGGTGGATGCTGGCGGCTTTGGCATGGACGGGAGCGTGGGCTTCTTGGCACCCTCTCCCAGTTGGCCGGGCTTGGTGGTGTCGCTATTCACGGCGTCCGCAGCCAGAGCCGCAGGTTTCCCCTTCCCCCCGGTGCCCGCCTCCCCGGCCGCTTCCTGGCTCGGGCCCTGTGAGGACTTCCCGGCCTTGCCAGCGGAGGCGGGTGGCGGGGGCGGCGGGGCAGGTCTGAGCTTGGACAGCTTCCCCTTGTCTCTCCCTGGGGACTCGGAGGCGGGCTTGTGCCTCCTCCCCCGGGGCTCCTCTGTGGTGGCGGCCTTGTTGGGCCCTCCGGAGGCTCCTGGCCCGGCCCGGCTGGTGGAAGGTGCCAGCTCAGTGGGCACCCCCGCGGCACTGGGCCTGCCGGCCTCCTCCTTGTGGGGAGGGCTGGAGGGAGGCGCGGCTGCACCCTGCCTCCGGAGGGGTTTCGGCGTTAGGCTGGGCGGGCTGGAGCCTGGGCTGGCCTCGGCCGCGTCCTTGAAGACCTCATCGGCAGCCTCCTCAGTCTTCTTCACCAGCCGGGGCGGTGGGGTGACCGTGCCTCTGGTCACCTGGTCAGACCTGTTCTCACTTGCTCGCTTCCGAGGCAGGGCCGGCTTCTCGCTTTTGTGGCCTCCGAAGGTGGAGGAGTCGAACTGCCTGCCAGTGGACTGCAGGTCCCGAGGCAGGGTCACTGACCGCCACTCTGTGTCCTTGGCGCCGTGGGGCACGCAGGAGGCTGAGCAGGACCTCAGGAAGCGCTTGCTGGCGCCGCCGCCGCTCTCCTCTTCACCGGCGGCCAGCCGGCTGCTGGTCAGCGTGCTGGACTTCTTCCACAGGTGGGGCGACCGGAAGCCCGCACCCCCAGACTCCCGGAAGGCCCCATTGGGGACCGCAGACCCGCCACTGGGCTTCGGGGACTTGGCTGACTCCGCTGCGTCCGGGGGTGCTGGCGCCAGCGCCCCATTGCTGATTTCCCGGCCTTCCTCCTCGCTGGCCGCTTTCCGCTCGGGCGGGCCGTCCATCTCCCGGAAGGAGCTGCTGCGTTTGGGAGGGGTTGGAGCGGTTTTCTTCTTCTTCTTGATCAAGGCGCTGAACAGGTTGGTCTTCTTGTCCTTGGGAAGCAGGCGCTCATCCTCATTGAGGCCTCCATCTGGAGGACCCCGCTCTTTTCGAGGGAGCAGTGGAGATACAGCAGGCTCGTGGTCCAGAGGATCTGAAACACACAGGGAAGAGCTGAACGAGTCCAGGCCAGAAGCGACGAGTGGGGAGCCTCGCCTGGGCCGGCTGGCCTGTCCCCACAGAGCGGCCTCGCATCTGGGCTCTGCCAGGCCTGCGTGTGTGGTCAGGCAGCCCGACCCTGGCGAGCGACTCACCCTCGGCTTCCTCATTGATGAAACGGAGGACAACAGAGCTACCCGGAGTGCTGCACTGAGAATGGAATGGACGTGGGGCATTTATCACAGCTCTTGGCACGAAATTCCTCAGTAGCTATTGTCACTGTATGTTGGTGGTGTTATTATCAGGCAGAGCTAAGGCCTCTCTCCTTGAAGACAGCAGAACAAAAAGCTGGGGCACCCGAGCCCCAGCCCCCACACCGGTTAAAGCAGCAGAGGCCCCTGCACGCTACCATCTGGGGGGTACAGGCCACATGAGGCCAAGCACAGGGTCAGGAGCTGACCTCTCTGACCAGGCGGCCACTCGCGGCTCCCACGAGGCCGGCAGGAGGGAGGGGGCCGCGTACCACAGGGTGCAGTGACAACGGGCTATTATGCTCAGGGAGCTAGAAGGGTGACCTTTTAAAACTTTTAAATGGGCATTCTTTAAATATGAATAACAGCGCCTAAGAAATCTTTCTGGCGTTGCCAAGCTCCCCGCGAGTGAGTGACAGAGCTCTCCCTTTGGGGGTGGCGGCAGCACGGTGGCCGTCAGCACTTGGGACGCCGAGGGACTGGGCATCTGTCAGAACAGCAGGCGGCACACAGGACTCCCGGATCCAGGGAAGTCGAGGCCCTCCCCAAACCTCAGCCCCGTTGAAAGAAGGCAAAAAGAGTGAATTTCTAATGAATTATGCACAGCTCTGTTTCAGGGGCTGAAGAGCTAATTGACACTCTTGGCGCGCCGTGAGATTACATATCAGAATACCTCTCAGATGAATACTGATGGGGGGTAAATGAACATGATGGCTTATCACTGGCCTTTTAATAAGCCGCAAGTTCTCAGAGCGGCCCCTCCTCCCCACTGCTGTTCCACTTCCTGACGTCAGGACGACTAACAGAGGATGGAGGGGCCGGGTTCTAAATAGTTTACATGCTGTCGAAGCAGGGTAAGCAAAACAGTCCAGGGAGTGTGCAAAGAAAGCAGGATAATTTACCTCTGATGTAAACCTTTTAAGTGTATATTTTTGCGATATTTCATAGTAAATATATTTGTGCAGCAGTACATATACAATACCTATGTATAGAAGCTACACAGTCAACTTTTAAAATATGGGTACACGATGAAAGAATAGCAAGGACAGATAAGAAAGACTTCCTAAGTGATCAATGCGAAGAAATAGAGGAAAACAATAAAATGGGAAAAACCAGGGATCTCTTCAAGAAAATTAAGAGATACCAAGGGAACATTTCATGCAAAGATGGGCTCAATGAAGGACAGAAATGGTATGGACCTAAAAGATGTAGAAGATGTTAAGAAGAGGTGGCAAGAATACACAGAAGAACTATACAAAAAAGATCTTAATAACCAAGATGACCACGATGGTGTGATCACTCACCCAGAGCCAGAAATACTAGAGTGAGAAGTTAAGTGGGCCTTAGGAGCATCACTACGAGCAAAGCTAGTGGAGGTGATGGAATTCCAGTTGAGTTATTTCAAATCCTAAAAGATGATGCTGTAAAAGTGCTGCACTCAATATGCCAGCAAATTTGGAAAACTTGGCAGTGGCCACAGGAATGGAAAAGGTCTGTTTTCATTCCAATCCAAAAGAAAGGCAATGTCAAAGAATGTTCAAACTACTGCACAATTGCACTCATCTTCACGTGCTAGCAAAGTAATGCTCAAAATTCTCTAAGCTAGGCTTCAACAGTACATGAACCGAAAACTTCCAGATGTTCAAGCTGGATTTAGAAAAGGCAGGGGAATCAGAGATCAAATAGCCAACATCTGCTGGATCATAGAAAAAGCAACAGAATTCCAGAAAAACATCTGCTTCATTGACTACGCAAAAGCTTTTGACTGTGTGAATCACACAAACTGTGAAAAATTCTTAAAGAGCTGGGATATACCAGACCACCTTACTTGCCTCCTGAGAAACCTGTATGCAGGTCAAGAAGCAACAGTTAGAACCAGACATGCAACAATGAACTGGGTCCAAATTGGGAAAGGAGTACATCAAGGCTGTATATTGCCACCCTGCTTATTTAACTTATATGCAGATTACATCATGCAAAATGCTGGGCTGAATAAAGCACAAGCTGGAATCAAGACTGCTGGGAGAAATATCGGTAACCTCAGATACAGCACCTTTATGGCAGAAAGTGAAGAGGAGCTAAAGAGCCTCTTGATGAAAGTGAAAGAGGAGAGTGAAAAAGCTGGCTTAAAACTCAACATTCAAAAAACGAAGATCATGGCATCCGGTCCCATCACTTCATGGCAAATAGATGAGGAAACAATGGAAAGAATGAGAGACTTTATTTTCTTAGGCTCCAGAATCACTGAAGATGGTGACTGCAGCCGTGAAATTAAAAGATGCTTGCTTCTTGGAAGAAAAGCTATGACAAACCTAAACAGTGTATTAAATAGCACAGATATTACTTTGCCAACAAAGGTCCATATAGTCAAAGCTATGGTTTTTCCAGTCGTCATGTATGGATGTGAGAGCTGGATCATAAAGGCGGATGAATGTTGAAGAATTGATGATTCTGAACTGTGGTTTTGGGGAAGACTCTTGAGAGTCCCTTGGATAACAAGATCAAACCAGTCCATCCTAAAGGAAACCAAGCCTGAATATTCATTGGAAGGACTGATGCTGAAGCTCCAATACTTTGGCCACCTGATGCCAAGAACCGACTCATCAGAAGACTCTGATGCTGGGCAAAATTGAAGGCAGCAGGAGAAGGGGATGACAGAAGATGAGATGGTTGGATGGCATCACTGATTCAATGGACATGAGTTTGAGCAAGTTCCAGGAAATGGTGAAGAACAGGGAAGCCTGGCGTGCTGCAGTCCACAGGGCCGCAAAGAGTCGGACATGACTGAGTGACTGAACAACAACATGATGGAAAAGATTGGAATCATGGGGTCTTGGAGATTCTGGCTTTGTCCTGTCCCTTCCCATTCACCCAGAGTGTGTGGCCCGTCAGAGCAATCCCCTAGAAGCAGCTAAAAACCCAGACACCTGGCCCACTGCAGACATTTCCACTCAGTTGGTCTGCTCTGGAATCCAGACTTCTGTATTTTTTTTTTTTTTGGCTGGGGGCAACTGCAAAATTAGAGAAGCCTTGCTCAGAGCAGAGCCTGGCACACAGGAAGCACTGGATCCATGTTTGCTCATGTTAACCCCTCCTGCAGTGCTCCCACTGCCCTCGCTAGTCAAGGGGACAGCCCCAGAGTCTCTTCTCAGGAACCATGAGAGGACCCCAGCCCTGTCACGGGGGTCTCGTGGCTTCGTCAGCACCAGTGAGCTTTTCATATCAGTGCTTTCACAACGAGCTGCTCTTTGGTTCAGTGTTTATTACTGCGCTATCTGTCCACAATGCAGAACAACCACAAACAGTGTGAATGATACATGAAAAGGTGGGTTTGTTCCTGGTAGGTTTCATGAACACCTCTGCCTATCTGACTAGACTGAGTGCGGAAGCAACGGCTGAAGGGGGCAGGGGGCGGGGTGGGCAGAGAGTGCAGAGAAAAGGAGAACTTTCCTCCCTTCGCAGCTGGCCCACTCATGAGGGATGTGCCTGCCTGCCAGTGCAGGGTCACCTCCCTGGGGCCCCTGAGGCGGGTGGGGGTGGGCACATACCGGTCTCTCCTGGGCCCTTGGAGTGGGGTGTCTCGGGCATGTCGGGGATGTCTTTGGGCTCAGCAGCTCTCCTGGAGGTTCTCGTCTTGGTGGGCAGTTCTGGGGCCTGCAGCAGGGTACCTGCAACCCCTCGCATGCCTTTCTTCCCCAACTCCTTTTCCACCTCTAAGAAACACCAAAAAAACGAAGAACAAAACTGGCAGTCATCAGCAGTGGTATGCTGAGTAGTCATCTATATACGGTTACAGAAAAGGGACACACACTCTGAAGAAACAGCACTCGAGTAGTGTTCAGAACCCTGGCTGCAAGAGATGGAAAGCCACCCTCAGTACCCCTGCTCCACTTTCTGCTCTCAGGCGAGATGATGGCCCACGTGCTCTATCAGGAAGTAGACTGAAGGACTGGGCTGGGCCCCACACGGCTGTCCCTCCCAGGTCGACCTTGCTCCCCACCACGGGCACCCCAAGGAAGGGCACTTTACCGTCTGATATGCTGGATTCCTGGAACATCGTTTCAAAGGCTTGGTGGATCTCAGCGAAGGAGGGCCGGTCGGAGGGATTCCACTGCCAACCTGAGGATGAGACCCAAGTCAGACTGCCCACGAGGCCTTGCTAACACGGGGGGATGAGACATTCTCAGTGGAAAGTCTGGAAATTAAGCACTCCAATCCCGCTTAAGCATCTTTTGCTGTGACAAGTTAAAGTGATGAATGTCACTGTGTCCTATTACAGACATCGAGAATTTGAGAAGATTTTGGATACTGGCAGGAATACGGAGTCTAAAATCCCAGAGACAGGCTGACAGCAACAACTACATTTACAAATAGGATTTTACCAGGCTGCCTCCAGCAAATGTACAAAGTTACTAAACCCAGTAGCTTGCTTCCTACCTTACCCTTACTTCATGGATATCAAAGCCCAAATTCCTCATCAGGAAAGATGTACTAATTAAAACAAGATTAAAATGAGGATTAAGGGATGACTAAGCCCTGTTAGGTGAAGACGTAGAGTCCCTCTTGGAAACTTCTGTTGAGAGTGTCAATTCATATAACCTTTTTGAGAAAAAGATAAAACCTATCAAAATTTAAAATGCACATAGCTCCCTGAACCAACAGTTCAACTTCTAGAAGTACTAGCAAAGTGCATAGAGGTCTATGTATGAGGGTGCTGGTTCCTGCCTTGTTTATAATGACGAAAAAAAAACCCAAAAATAAACCAAATGTGTAAAACAACCAAATGTTCATCAAAAGAGGACTGGATGAATGAATAAATCATGCAATAGATCCCAGACAGCTACATAAAGATATGAGACAGGAAAGTGGGGGGAAGAGAGTGCACTTGTTCTGAATCACAGACATGGAAAGACAGGCCTGTTCCACTGCTAAGTACAAAAAAAGAGTTGAGACGATAAATTTTTATACATTTTATACATGCACACACATGTTACATACATACACACACCCACACAACCTATAACACACACACAACATACATATATACACACCTGTAACACACACACACACACACACACGTGTGTGTGTGTGTGTAAACTGCTGGAATTTCAGGGTCCATAATATACATGGGCTTCCCTGGTGGCTTAAAGGTAGTGAATCCTCCTGCCAATGCAGGAGATGCAAATTGGATCCCTGGGTTGGAAAGATCCTGGGGAAGGAAATGGCAACCGACTCCGATATTCTTGCCTGGGCAATCCAATGGACAGAGGAACCTGGCGGGCTACAGTTCACAGGGTTGCAAACCCTGGGTTTCTTATTAATAAATGCAAATTTCTGGTATAGTAGGCAAATATTCTGAGTGACTTTTATCCATCCAGGTTTTGTATCCGTTGGTCTCATTTTTCGTGAAAAATAAACAAAAAACCCTCACACAAAAAATACTATGTATGAATAAAGGTGCATAGAAACATGGAAACAAGAAAGAAAAAAGTACCAAACTGTTAAAGTGGTCGCTTCTGAAGAAGGGGAAGGAAGAGAGGAAATGGGGCACTCTTAACCCCTCACTTTACACACATGCCCTGCACTGGGTTGCCTACAGAGCCCACATCGGAACCGGCAGGGGAAGGCTCACATGCTCGCATGAGTTCGTAGACCTTCTCTGGGCAGCCTTCTGGGCGCTCCATGCGGTAGTCTTTCTCCAGCAGCTCATACACCTGGGACAGGTCAATTCCTGGGTAAGGTGACATGCCATAGGTAGCAATTTCCCAAAGCAATACTCCAAATGCTAAAAGAAAAAAAAAGAGCAAGACTGTTCGAGATGCGTTTAAGATTTGACTATACGACATTTAGAACTGGCTAACTGTGCAGCAGACTTCAGAAGTTACACCCTCAGAAGCAGCCCAAACACTTTTGACATTTTATGAGGCTCTTAATTACCAACAGCCCTGGACAGAACAGGACAGAATGAGGCTTTCCAGTCACTCCCTCCCACAGACTAACACACTGTAGGAGAGAGGGGGCCTGGGATGACTAGCCCCTCCAGGGTCTTTAAGGGAGCATGGCTATCTTATTGGAAGATGTGGGGGAAGGCACCTAGGACTGGAATTGAAGAGGCCATTTCTACTTGTGGCTCTGCGACCAACTAGCTGCATGCCTCCAACAGGCACCTCTCCCTGCTGGGTATGTGAAGTTATCTCTAAGGTCCCTTCCAACTCTAAAAACTCCATTAAAATCTTACGAAATCACTGAAACTCCAGGTCCCACTAAGGAACCAGAATTCCTTGGAGAAGTGGGTGGTTCAGGTCTGGGGCAGAGAATGAACCTGGAGTATTTTATTCATTTCAGAGAGCACAGATGCTATAGAAGACTATAGGGTTTTGTCACAAAGAACCAGGAATACTTTGAAGTCTCCACGGGCCAAAGTTGAGACGATCTGAATATCAATTTTAAAAAACTGCAGTGGATTAATCCATAATATACTCTAATATAATTAAATCCAAGAGCTTGTAATACTACTACAAAAGAAAAACAAAACCTAATTGGTCACCACTGGAGGGTATTAAGAAATCAATCTGTTATCATGGAAAGTGGTAAATAATGGCAAGAAAGTGTATATTTATCTTGTCTTTCCTGTATAAACTGTACCCCCTACTGTAATCAGATGGTAGGAGAGAGGAAGTTTCTTCTTATAGAAGTATGGAGCTCATAAATGAATAAGGAATGACAGAACTAGAAAACTGTCATTTGGCAACCCCCTCATAAATCAGTGGCTCTAGACAGGGAAAAGCAAGAATTACGGGGCTAATGATCAAAGGTACCCTCCTTCCTATGAAGTACTCTTACCAAAACAAAACAAATCAAACCCGAATGTGATCAAGGGGTCTAGGCCCAACCACCCATATTCTGGGAAGGTGAAGACTGAGGAGCATGAGAAACAGCGAGCAGAATCCAGAATGTGAGAAACTTTAAGGGACAGATGGCAGGGTCTGTTCCACAAACAGCCAGCAAGAGGCACAGAGAGATGAGAAAGGAGCTTACAGGTTAGAGACCTTAAGGACGTCGTCAACTACTCACAGTGGGAGATTTGTATTTTCACCCCAATTAAAACAGATTAAAAAAAAAAAGCGTGACTTTTATGATTAATTGGAGCTTTGAACATTGATATTTGCTAATATTTAGAAACCAGTTCCTCAGTGGCTCAGCGGGTAAAGAATCTGCCTGTAATTCAGGAGACACAGCAGACACAGGTTCGATCCTCGGGTCGGGAAGATGCTCTGGAGAAGGAAATGGCAACCCACTCCAGTATTCTGGCCTGAAACATCCCATGGACAGAGGAACCCGGTGGGCTACAGTCCAAGGGGTCACAAAGACTCAGACACAACTGAGCAACTAAGCACGCAAAATTCAGAAACTCAACTTGCGGTTCTACAAATACAAATGTCGTCTTTAAGAGACATATGAATATTCATGGACAAAATATTATGCTGTCTGGAATTTGCTTTGAAATCACAAGGGTCGGGGCTGGGCGGGGGTATAGGGTGAGAGGGTACCACAAGGTGAAGATAGCGAAGCTGGGGGTGGAGAGTGCCTGGAGTCATCAGGTAACTCTGCCTCCTTGATTGCCTGCTGACAATCTGCATAACAAAAGTCTTTTAAAAAAAGTAAAAACACCGTCACACAAGGCTTCAGAGAGGAACATTCTACTTGAATCCCAAACCAGACTCTGCAGCATTCTCTCCTCAGAGACAGACCCTGGGTGCCTGCAGGGTGGGCTGGCTGCCCTGCACGTCCAGGCAATCTAAGAGTGAGGAAGACAAAGTTGTTAAGTGGGGGGAAAGAGTTCATCTGAATTATTTTGGAAGAGGAAAAAAAACCTCACTTTCACCTCATTTTGGAGAGAAAACATGGGAGAAGAGATTTTTAAAATGAAAAAGAAGCAAAAGAAACAAAACGAGAATGAAGTAATGAGAAAGAAACGAAAGAGCAAGGAAAAAGGACCTGAAAAGGCAAGGAGAGAAGGCACAGTGGGGACACAGCCCCGCCCTAGACAGGTGAGGACAGAACCGGAGCGGTGGTCTTACCCCAGATGTCCGACTTGATGGAGAACTTGTTATAGGCCAGGCTCTCGGGCGCCGTCCACTTGATGGGGAACTTGGCCCCGGCATGGGCTGTGTAGGTGTCTCCTGTCATCAGCCTGCTCAGGCCAAAGTCAGCCACCTTCACCAAGTGGTTTTCCCCGACCAGGCAGTTCCGGGCAGCAAGATCTCTGGGAAAGGAAACGGTTTATCTGTGAGTTCCTGGCTGGCTGTCAGCTTTACAAATCCTCCACCATTGTTTATAAAGGTGCAACACTCACAATGGGAAAATGGAGATCCTAAATAAATACATCTGTTTGTAAATAGTAACCACCAAGCTCTACCCTTCAGAGGGTGTTGGGGGAACAGGCTCCCTGGCCCCACGACCTGGAGTGAGTGAATCACCCTAGGACTCGGTTCTCTCACCCATAAAATGAGGATGATGATAATGGTGCTTGCTTCTCAGGATGGTTGTGAATGGTGGTGAATTAACAGTAAAGCACTGACTGAAATCTGGGGGATAATGTCCTTAAGAGTCTGTTCAGCTACTACTGCCCTGTGCCAGGCACCGTGAGCGGACATCCAGGCCAGGCCTTGGTCTCCAGAAATTTACATCAGAGTGAGTCTCTGCTTGTCCTATTTAGACTCAACAGGATAAAATAAAGCTCATGACATTTTTATCCAAATTGTATTTCCCACTTTCCTATTTCTTCCTGATGCGTATCCAACCAAATGTATCCTATGGATTCTCTCCTGTATAATCGGCTTCCTTTCGCCTCCTGATTCTCCCATGGAGGCAGGAGCCTAATCTCTGGTTCACGGACGTTAACCATGAAATCACAAGGCAACCTGGAATGCAGGATGAGAAGAGGCACTTGCTGAAGGCGATGGCTGCGTGAGATAGCCTGATCACCAGCAATGAGAAAGAAAGGAAATTCAGGAGGGTTGTGCCTAATAGGATTTCGGTAATGCATTTTAAGTTTGCATGAATGAAGAGAGAATGAACTGAGCCATGCAAGGCAAACCAGAAGTTAAGAAATTTCAATTTGCAGCCTCGGAGGGTTCACTTTCCTGAGTGACAGGAGCCTCTGAAGCAGACTCTCATGGAGCAGAGAAAAATCTGTCATACAAGGCACCGCCAGCAGTTCACACACGCTCCTCTTACTCCTCACTATGAAGTCCCGTGTACAGGTTTCATACTTCAGTTAATTGGGAAGGAAAGGTCACCACGGTGGCTGGAGAACATCTTGTATAGAAGACTCCGGCAAAGCCCATCAGGCCTTGTCCTGCACAGGCCTTCACTCTGCTAGGAAGCCATTTCCACCAGCAAAGAATGTGGAGACCAAGATAATTGTGGCATGCTCGAAGGTCAGAACACTCCAGGCTTTGAAGCAGCCAAGATGCTTAATTTAGAACTACGCATACACAATCCTGACAATGGTGGAAACATTCCTGAACCAGATGACAGCAAGTTAAGTGGAGAATGAAATGATAATTACGAGAAGGGAGGGGAAAACACATACACACACAACATGGGAACAAAACCCACATAGGGCCATTTCTGAGAGCTTGTGGAAAAGAAACACCCCAGTGGCTACTGGGAAGAGGTTATGACACGACTGATGAACCCCAGTCCTAGAGGAGTAACAGGTGCCCCATGTCACAGGGAGCCCTGCCAATGAAAAGGGGTGCCTTCTAATGAACTTCATTCAGTATTCCTCTTAGTCCAAAATGATTCTGCAGTGAAATACTTCTCAGCCTGAGGATAACTGCTCTATGGGTCCAAGGGCCAGGCCGGGCTGACTGAAGTCCTGGACGCATGCCCGAAGCTGGCAATGTCAGGAGCCTGGTGTTTGCCTTTGCTCCAAGGGCCGAGGAGCTGCCAGCATTAAACGAGTCGGAGGCCAAGCCAGAAGACCCTGCAGGTTGGAGCTGTTTTGGTGAAAGGATGCCCGGGTCCTGTGGCTGCCCCGCGACTCCGCTGGTGCGGGGAGGGTGGCCTCGCGGGGCTCCTACCTGTGGATGAAGTTTTTCTTCTCCAGGTACTCCATGGCGGATGAGATCTGAGTGGCCATGTAGAGCAGCACCACGGCATTCACCTCCTGCCGGTTACAGTCCCTCAGGTAGTCCAGCAGGTTCCCGTAGGTCATGAACTCAGTGATTATGTAGAACGGGGGCTCCCGGGTGCAGACCCCTGCCAACGAGACCACGGCTTCAGCGCGCCGCTCTGCCCCCAGCAGAGCACACACCAGGGAAGGTGAGCCCTGAAGAGTGGCGCTTCTGGGGCAGATTCTCGCTCTGCCCCTGTGTCCTGGGCCCGCGCTCTGCGGTGACCTCGTGTACTCGTGGGTTGAGATGATGCTCCCACGGGAGGGGTGTGGCCCCTCTTCAACGGGAAAGAGGCTGCCGCTGAGTTCAAAAGCAGAGGCCGGGCCACATCAGACACACTCAGTCATCACCCTTAGGTTAGCACATGCCCCTGACGGGTACTTCTATGTACAGAGTCGCTTCAGGAAGGAACTTCTGAAATTCTTAGGTTTCAAGATGTTGATCTGAGATTTGTGCTTGATTGCTTTTGGGTATCAACTTAAAAGTTATAACATTCTCTCTCACTTCTGTGGGCCCATAGACAGACACACACACACACCCCATCTCTCACTTGTGGGGGTGCATGGACACACCCCCCACCCCATCTCTCATTTGTGTGGGCGCATGGACACAAACACACATACCCACACCCATTCCATACAGGCCTCTTTGTACCAAGGGCTGATGCAGGTGGGGAACAGACATACAGACCAGAAACCTTAAGGCAGTGAGCCATTCACCTCTGTTCCAATAGCACCTGTATCACCCAGAGAGTTTAATTCAAAGCTCAGAGCTCCTCACTCACCGAGCAACTGTACTAAATTGGGGTGCTTGATCTCTTTCATTACTGCAGCCTCTTTCAAGAACTCCTCCACCTCCATGGTATCCTCCTGCAGGAAAGAAAGAAGTGATGACATTATCTCAGCAAGGAAAGTGTTCAAGGGGGGAAGTATGACTTGAATGGTTAACACAAGCTGGAGCTTTGACGAGCAATGATCCTGGTCCACTGGTTTCAACCACAACATCCTTCTGGACCGGTTCCAAGGTGGCTGGTCATCAGCCCGACGGCACAAAGAATTTTCCACTATGGTGTGGAGCTTTTGAATTCTCACCCTGAGCACAAAAGCAAACGGCTGGGTATGCTGTTGACTTGCTCTGATGGCTCTATGCAGACTACTTGTTTCCATCACCTAGTGAAGTTTACGGGGAGGGAGGGAGATGTGAAAAGGCAAACACCGCAAACATGGTACCACTTCCCTAAGGAATGACTGGTTTCCAAGGACACCCAAAACGCTTAATATAAAAAAAAAAAACACTTGAAGAATCCGATAGGTACTTGATTCAAGAGAAGAGACCTTGATGACAGAAGAGATGTATAGCACTACCAAAGAACAGTGCCTCAAGATGTGGCAGAAAGAGAGGACGCTGAGTTTCTTAAGAATGTGGTCTCATGTGGCCCTTAATGAAGCAATCGCCACTACCTGTCAGGTCAATTTACTCAGCTCCTAAAACAAGCCTCACCAGCAGCTCCCCTAGCAACGGGTTCATAAATGTGATCACCAGTCCATACCACATTTTAGCTAGTTCACAGTATTTAAATGCCAAGGGGAGATGAAGACATTAGCACAAGCCCAGAGCAAATGTGACAATATTTCTACGTTTTCTCACCTATCAGGGCGGAGTGCTGTGGTGCTGGGTCTTGGGGTTGGCCTTGTTATCAAGATCATGGTGGTGGGCTTATGTTGGGGAGACCTCTTTTCAGAACACCAAAGGAAGAAGCCAGTGGAAGATGTGACATAGTCTGTTGCTATAAAGGCCAATGAGGGAAGTGAGACCCTACCCTCCCAGGTTTCAACATGGAGTCTGAGTATGTCTGAAGAGCAAGACTACAGGGGAGACGGGGAGAGCACGTCTAGTTTGATTCCCCAAGAAGAAAGCTTTATCAACTACTTTAAAAGTGGCGCTTTCTTTACACTGTACCTGCTGCCCCTCTGGGAAACAAAAGCTAAAGTGTCCGACTCACCACAGCTGCCAGTTCCCACCCTGGCACCTGGGGACCACTCCAGAGGACAGGTCACCCTCTACTGAGCGCTGTCCTGCTCTGGTCAGTTGTGTTTACCAGCGAAGCAGGACCACTGAGGATGTGTGTCAGCTCCTGAATCACTCAGCTCAGGGTGTGGTGGGACTGAAATGAAGACACAATTTACTGCCCTTTAGAAATGGTGAGGGCTTCCCTGGTAGCTTGGTGGTAAAGAACCCACCTAGCAGCAGCTCAGTATCAGAAAAACAACCAACCCAATCAAAACACTGGCAGAAGACCTGAATGAACACTTCTCTAAAGAAGACATGCAGATGATTAATAAATATGAAAAGATGCTCAACACTGCTTATTATTTGAGAAATGCAAATCAAAATACAATGAGTTATCACCTCATTGTATGAGATGATGGCCATCATCAAAAAACCTACAAACAACAAATGCTGGTGAGGGTGTGGGGAAAAGGGAACCTCCTTGCACTATTGGTGGGAATGTAAATTAATAACAGCCACTATGGAGAACAGTATGGAGATTCCTTAAAAAACTAGGAACAAAACTACCATATGAGCCAGCAATCCCACTACTGGGCACATACCCTGTGAAAACTATTTTTAAAAGACACATGTACCCCAATGTTCACTGCAGCACTATTTACAACAGCCAGGACATCAACCTAGATGTCCTTCGACAGATGAACGGATAAAGAAGTTGTGGTGCATTTTTACAAGGGAATAATACACACCCATAAAAACGTCAGTTCTAGTGAGGTGGATGAAACTAGAGCCTGTTACATAGAGTGAAGTAAATCAGAAATAGAAAAACTAATATCATATATTAACTCATACATATGGAATCTAGAAAAATGGTACTGATGAACCTATTTGTAGGGCAGTAATAAAGACATGTAGACAACAGATTTGTGGACACAGTGGGGAAAGGAGAGGATGGGACAAATTGAGATAGAAACATATACATTACCATATGTAAAATAGTCAGTGGGAATTTGCTGTATGATGCAGGGAGTTCAACTGGTGCTTTGTGATAACCTAGAGGGGTGGGATGTGGTGGGAAGTGGGAGGCAGGTTCAAGAGGAAGGAAACATATGTATACTTACGGCAGATTCATGTTGCTGTATGGCAGAAACTAATACAACACTGTAAAGCAATTATCCTCCAATTAAAATTAGATAAATTTAAAAAAGAAAAGAATCTACCAAACAATGCGAGAAGATTCCACATGCCCTGCAGAGCAACTAAGCCCATGTGCCACAACTAATTCCTAGTTTTTAAAGAAATCTCTGTACTGTTCTCCATAGTGATATCAATTTACATTCCCACCAACAGAGCAAGAAGGTTCTCTCTGCTCCACACTCTCTCCAGTGTTTACTGTTTGCAGATTTTTTTAAAGCAACTCCTGAGCCCACGTGCTGCGACTACTGAAGCCTGCGTACTCTAGAGTCCGTGCTCTGCAAAAAGAGAAGCCCAGGGACCGCAATTAGAGAGTGGCCTCCACTCACCGCAGCTAGGGAAAAGCCGCGCAGCAACAAAGACCCAGCAAAGCCAAAAAGAAAGAAATAAAACTGCTTTAAAAAAAAAAAGGTGAGCCATTCTAAGGTCACTTAAACATCCTGGGTGGTCTCTGTGTCAAGCTGCATGGGGGGAGAAGAATACACCCCTGCCACCCCTACCCTGGCTGTTTAATTCTTCAAGTCCTCTCTACTCCTGAGCACGGTGAGCAGACTACGCTGTCTCTGGCGCGGCGGGCTCTGATCTACCAGGGTGAAAGTGAAAGTTGCTCAGTCATGTCCGACTCTTTGCGACCCCATGGACTACACAGTCCGTGGAATTCTGCAGGTCAGGATACTGGAGTGGGTGGCCTTTCATTTCTCCAGGGGATCTTCCCAACCCAGGGATTAAACCCAGGCCTCCCGCATTGCAGGATCACACTGTCTCTGGTGCAATGGGCTCTGATCTACCAGGGTGACACAGTACTATCGATGACTGGAGGGCAAGTGCCTGCCGGAACCACATGATTCAACGCCACTCATGGGAAGGACTGTAAGACTCTCGCTCAGCCAACAATATGTTCAAAAAGCAGCCCTCGAATGAAGGTTTGTGGGCGTAAAGGCCCCCATAACGAACCATGCAGAGTGAGATCATTTCCGAAGTAACACTGCTCTTATAGCTACTGACTCTTCTACAAGAACCACCACATTCCAGGTCGTGAGGGGCGTGGATGTGCAAAGGAACACCGCTGCTTTTGCAGGCCCCCTTCTCCGCTGCTTTTGCAGGCCCCATGCACTAACTCACACACACACGCGCACACACGACATGTGGACAGTGTAAATAACTCCTTGTTTTCTGTCTTTCGAGACAATCTTGTGTGAGCTTGTCTCCCCCTGCTGGAAGCAGGCCTGGTTCAATTTTTAACTTAAACTACTAACAGCATCCTCCATTGGTAGCTGTGTTAAATTGGAAAGATCCCTGATGCTACCCTGTTATAGTCCTTTCATTTAAAAAATCTCCATCACCTTTTAGAAGAGGATTCTTCCATTTACATAGTAAAATAAAAGGAATTCTGAATGATTAGGGTGAAGGCCACACTGTGAGTAAAGGCTGTGAATTTCAGTCCTCTCTGTCAAGGAGGGTGATAGATCCCCTGACCTCTCTTCTCAAGGCCTGAGTGGATGCGGATGAAAGCTGTGGCTGGCCCAGTGGTTAAGAGGATGCTGGTGAGTTATCCCTACCGAACTCTGCTGCTGTGTCACCATGGTAAGTCACCTACATGACCGGTAATAGCATCGCTGGACTTGTTCTCTCGCCTACCGAATGGAGAGTGGGTAGGACACAGAGAGCGCCGAGGGCACCACCCAGAACACGGTCATCACCAGTCCGGGGGACTCACTTTCACTATTATCAAGACAGTTGATCTCTATTCCTGAGAAGCAGGCTAAACATATTGCTTGTATGAAAGACAGGCTTGTTCTTTACTTCACACTGGTTTTTGGGTCTTTTTCACATTCTCTCAGACTCAACACGTCACAGGTAGCTTCTTCCTTTTTGCTCACTGGCCTTGTCCCCAAGAGTAGGAATTCCATGGCACTGGACAGAACACCACTTTTAAGCCCAGCCCAGCTCTCAGTCCTCTCCAGACCTCCCTCGTGGCAGAGCTGGGCTCGTGCCTAAGGTAGATCAGCTTCCACGTTCTGTGTTTACCCAATGTCAGAGGAGCGCACTTAGAAGGACACTGAAGTGCGACTCCGCACCATCAGCTTGACCAGGACCAACACGCGGGAGAGACGGGGAGGTTCTGAGCTCGAGGAGGAAGGCCGCTGGTTCACAAACCAGGTGGGAGGCTTAACGCTCAAGTGAAAGGCCCTTAAGGGAGGATCTCAGAGAGGGACCCAGCCTCTGGTCCCCAGCACTGCAGCCGTGTTGAGTTCCATGGCCAGAGGGAAGCCACACGACAGGGCAGCAGCCCCTCTGACCAGCACATGGCTCCTCATGAAGCCAGAGCGACCGCGTAGACTGGCCAGGGCTCCTGGTGTCCTGGGGCCTTCCCTTCTCTGCTCATGATTGGAGCTTTCCAGTAAGACCAACTTCCTGGGGGTGGGGGGTGGCGAGTACCAAACGTAAACCCAAACCAAACACACACTCTGTGGGTGCCGGTGGGGAAAACAGGCACTTCCTCCACACGGGTGCTGGAGGGCACACTGGTGGGCGCACATGGATCCAGCAGCTTCTGCTCTGAGCAGCTGACCGACCAGCTCCGGCTCCCGCAGGTGCAAACATGCAGAGTCACTGTGCACTGCGTGTAACAGCAAAGAAGCGGGGAGAAGACACGTGTCCACGGAAGGCTGGTAAGATACTAGAATCTCCACCAGAAACAAGGCCACCTTCCGAGTACTGTCAAGGAGGACTGCCGAGAGACAGTAACAGAAGGTACAGAGCAGTGTCTACAGCAGGCTGTCATGTGGTTAAGGAGATGACACACGTGTGGACCATTTCCGGAAGGACATGAAAATCAAGGGTGGAGGAGACTATGTATATGTATTACCTACTGGGAAAATAGGTAAAGAACTGAGTACGGTGCTAAGCTTCAACTTTTTTCAACAGTGTTATTTTCCACTCTTTTAATAGTAAATTTGTCAGCTAGCTTATGAGTCAATATTAACACAATTAGATCAATGGCAGACTTATCCAAATTCTATTCTTACACAGCTGTTCTATACAAAGATGACTGATATACAAACAAACTTTTACTAGACAGCTCAAGACTGAAGACTGTCAAATTTCAAACTAAAAGTTCTCCATCAGGAGGCCCTCGCTGTAATTCCAGTTTCCCACCACAGGGGTCAACCTAATGTCCTCTTGTTTTCTCTTCTGGTCTTCCTTTTGCCCTGAAGGGGAGAGACCAGTGCTGCCTGGAGGATCAATACAGCGTGGTGGTTAAAAGCAGGGCCTCGGTGAGAACTAGCTAAACGGACAAAAGCTTGGGCTAGAAGATGAGGACTTCCCAATGCATCTTCAAGAGAAAGGCAGATCACAGCCTGTGGGGAAGGGGAACGGGCGGGTGGGGAAAGGTGATTTTTAAGGTGCATAATTGTAGTTTTGTGTATTCTTCATGGTGTACGAGGAATCGGACACTGCGTAACAATTTTAGGAAAGACCTGGGCTTTGCAGCAGGATGTCTGGATTCACACCCTGCCTCTGTCACTGCCAGCCATGCAACTGATGCCAGGCCAGTTACTGAACCTCCCTCTGCTTCAGGTCTCTCAACTCTGAAATGGTAGGGGTAATCAGCAGCCTTCTCTTTAGGTTGGAAGGATTAAATGAGATGCTCTATGCAGAGCATGAGGCACTCAGACTCTGCCAGGCACGTCGGGACAATCAGTAAACGACAGCCACCAGTGCCACTTAGGGCCCACACAAACTCTCCACGTCTGTAGTGGAGATGAACGACCCAAATGCTGACACCAGGCTGATCTGATAAGTGGGAAACATACTGCACACACGCTTTCTGAGTAGGGTGGGCTGGAGGGAGGGATAATTTATTTAGCTGTTGCTCAGTACCTTATTGGAGAAGGAAATGGCAACCCACTCCAGTACTCTTGCCTGGAGAATCCTAGGGACGGGGAAGCCTGGTGGGCTGCCATCTATGGGGTTGCACAGAGTTGGACACGACTGAAGTGACTTAGCAGCAGCAGTACCTGATATTGGGTTAATATACCTCTAGAAAATGACACACTCCCCCTTTCCTAATTAGCTGCCACTTGGAATGACTGACTATTCACAGAAATCTATGCAACCATATTCTGTAGTTTTTTTTTCATGAACTGCGGGATCATAAGTTAATAAGGCTCTTAGGGAAAATCGTTAAAAGTATAAAAAGCTTAATAACACATCATTAGAAAAGTACGTTCTGGAAGGCACCCACTTCCAGATAACTGTGATACCCAGAGAGAATACAAACCCCCCTGAGCTCCAGGGAGCCTCTCCTCTAAAAGCATCTTCTTCAGTCATTCAGAAAACAATGGCTCGGCACAGCTAGTGGGCTACGGTTTCCCCAAGTGGAACCTCTACCTCCTTTTTGAGTTTTCAAACAGGCCTCTCCTGGACCACCGTCTATTTGTGCTTTTCCTTTTGTTTGGCTTTGGCAAATCCTGGCAAGCATGTGGGTGGCGCCTGAGCCTTGACCAGTTCTGCAAGCCGGCCAAGGCTGTGTCTCCCGGGGCCTGGTCTGCGGCTGTGTGCCACATGGGGACATGGGAGCATGCATCTCCCTGCCATCTCCAGGCCTCCGCTGAGCTCATTCGAAGCTCGAGGACAGAGCTGCCCCGGAAGCAGTGAATCCGATCACCTTCTTCCTGTGCATCAAACCCCTCAGGGTGCCCCACTGCCTCCAGAACAGCACCCCAGCTCCTCAGGTGGGCTTGAGGCCTCCCAGACTCCAAGACGTGCCAAGTCCGCTCTGCCCCCTCCCTCCCTCTCCCAGCTCCATCCCCTCATTCACCTGTTCCTCTGTTGAGGCTGGCTCACCTGGCTCGCTGTCCTGCCCCCTCCCTGCCCAGCAGCGCTCACCTGTCCCCCCTCTCGTCCCCATGTGGTGCTACAGCCCTGAGCTCCTGTCGTGATCAGAGCCTCTGTCATATATGGTGCAGTGACTGGCACACCGACCCATTTCTCCTACTAACTAAGACTACCTAGTAGGGCTTCCCTGATGGTAAAGAGTCTGCCTGCAGTGGAGGCGACCAGGGTTCAAATCCTGGGTCGGGAAGATCCCCTGGAGATAGGAACGGCTGCCCACTAAAGTATTCCTGCCTGGAGGATTCCATGGACAGAGGAGCCTGGTGGGCTACGGTCCACGGGGTCGCAAAGAGTAGACACAACTGAGAGACTAACACTTGCCCTTTTCAGATGACCTGCTTCCAACTAGACATCTCTAACTACCTAACTCAGCCTGAGGCAAAGAACTCTGTCCAAGTCCTTTGCACAATCCCAGCGTTAAGCTCAGGGTCTGGCAAATAAGAGTGAAGAATTTGATAAATGCTTATCAAATTTAAAAAATCCTATCTGGAAAATATACAGGAGTCCTCAAAACATCCATGCCATCCCTGCCCCCAAGTGTATCAATCCTGCACCCAAGGACCAAGCTGAGGGGACGTGGTCAGTACGAAGGCCAGGAAGCCACCTTTGGTCTCTGGGACTAAAGAATGTGATCTTTCCTCTAAAGTGTCACTTCGTATCAACCAGAAACCACAACTTCTATTTTGTCATGCCTCTGAGTGAGGGCATAAGGGAATTAATTGGGTCCCGAAAGGGCAGGTGTTCTGGCTGCGTGAATCCGAATAACTTTCGAGAAGAAGCGCGTACACACTTGGGTTTGTTTTCCCCAGAGGTGGGTGTTTCAGTTCTGCCTCTCTGCCAACAGCTGCAAAACGGGGCTCCCTCTCCCCCATTTCTGGGCACAGCTCAATGGAACCGGAGTTTATTTAAAACAAGTGAAAACCACACAGGTCAACACTAGAGGACACTCTCGCCACAGCTAAAAATGTGGGTCATATTTTTGAAGGAGGTGAAGGCCTGCAAACTAAAACTTCCCTCCCTGGGCGTCCTAAGAGTCACCTGGAAACTACAAACACTAGACATCAGTTGAGGGGGAAAGTCATAGGTAAGGGTACAGAATAGACAGCATCTGAGTTAGTAAGAAGTTCCCATATTTTCTTAATGCCTCCTGGTGGGGGCAGCCCCACACTCGTATTTCCAGGAGTCTGGACACATGATATAGAGAATTGGAACCTACTAGAAACACCTAGTGCATCTGCTCTCACATCTACCAAGAAAAAATCCACAGATTTGGTTTTGTCTCTGACAAAACTCAAGAGATTCCCTGCCCACCCACCCCCGCCCTCTTAACTCAATAGGAAGTGATTCAAATGCCACACAAACTGAACGGAAACCCGCAGCTTTAAAACACCCTTGCCATAGAATGAAAAAACTCCTTCAAATGACTAATCGTTTTACACCAAAAAAAAAAACCCCACAGCACTTCTCAGCTCTCCAGCATATGTGGAAACACGTAGAGAATGAGTCAACCCGCTCACAGAAACCCAGATGGCGTGTGCCGGAGAGTCAGGCCCGGGGCCGGGTGTGCAGGCAGGCAACGGAGGGCGCGTGGCTATGCCCTGGCAGACAACAGGCCCCCCGGAACGGAGGCGCTGAGAGCGCTGGACAGCTGGACAGCCTGCCGGCGGGCCCCAGACTTACCTTCAGGGTCTTCACGGCCACCGTCAGGCTGTATTTCTTCCACACTCCTTCGTACACCTCCCCGTACTGGCCGCCGCCCAGCTTGTGCTTCATGGTGATGTCCGTGCGCTCCATCTCCCACTTGTCGTAGTTGGGGGACACGCCATAGACGGTGGGCTTGTTGCGCTTAGGGGCCGGGTAGTGGAGAGTGGTGATGAGCCCGTCGGCCACAGTGGAGTGGTGATGGACCAGCTCGGCCAGCGTGTTGAAGCGGCTCTCTGAGGAGACGTAGAGCTGAGGAGACAGAGACAGCCTTCAGCCAGTGAGCAGAGTCCCGCAACTCAGGAGGCCAGCTGTCTGCTGAGCCTTAACACACAGCGGCCCCTCAGAGGAACCGCCCTCCACACAGGACCCCGGGTGGAGAAAATCACTCACACTGTGCTGCTCTGTGAAGTCCTCCACCCACCTGACTGCCACGTGTCTGGTTCTCTGTAACCAGCCTGAGCACACTGGCAACGTCCACGAAGTATTCCCTGACTGGCCAACGCAAAATCACGGCTGAGCACCAGTCTTCTCATCACCTGCCTTACTTCTCTGTGCTGTACTTACCTCAGGCTGATGATTCCTTGTCTACCTGCTCGGTTACTGTCTGTCTCCACCTACCAGAATGCCAGTTTCATGAGAATACAGCCCTTCAGCCATCTGCTTTTATCCTGTGTCCCCAGCGTCCAGAGCAAGATACAAACACATAACTGGTACTCAAAAATGTTGTTGGTTAAATTAATAAAGAGGAAAACTTAGCATTTGCTGATTAGAAAAGAAAACGAATTATAAAAATTCTGTTTATTACCCTAAACTTATAATGATATAATTATCTAGAACTGAACAGTGATCAGGCTTCCCTGGTGGCTCAGTGGTAAAGAATCCGCCTGCCAATGGAAGAGACATGGGTTTGATCCCTGGGTCGGGAAGATCCCCTGGAGGAGGATATGGCAACCCACTCCAGTATTTCTTGCCTGGAGAATCCCATGGACAGAGGAGTCTGGCGGGCTACAGTCCATGAGGTTGCAAAAGAGTTGGACATGACTTAACAACTGAACAGCACTAACAGTGATCAGAGGTGAAAATCACTAAATAAAACATAAATCCAAAAAAAAAAAAACATAAATCCCTTCTCGTTCCTACTCCCTCTATTTGGGCTGAGTAGAAAGCATCCGAGACCAAGACCTGCAAATGCCCGTGGCATGCCCATGAGGGATGCCCTGCCAGCTCTCTCCCAGGACAAAGTGGGGGGCGTGGAGGGCTTCACAGAGGCCACACGGCCCCCTCCAGCACAGAGAAGTAAGGAGAAGGGATAGAGACACAAATACACGTCAGTCTTGAATTGAGAGTAACGGCAGGTGAGCACCCACACAGGCAACCCCTCCGTGTGGCATCTTCATCTGAACATGCAAAGGGGAGGAAGGCAAAGGCAGAGGCTGGCAGAGAGCAGCATGAGGACAGGACAGCTATCTTTCTTCCTTCTTTTTGGTTCAATGAGGCAGTGAGGGGGTATTTCCTCACCAAAACCAATTCACATTAAAATTTACAGAGAACACTTGGGATCCCGGCACACAAGTGACTCTGCTGGCTCACTAAGGGCAGCTGACAATCGCTCAAGGTGGAATGGATCTTTAAAATCACGACTAGGTGTTTGTAAGCCTTGCCCAAACTGAAAAGACGTGGGAAGGAGGAATACACATTTGGGACAGTGTTGATGGCTGAGGTAAGAGGGACAGAAGGAATAGGATCAGTCAGCTGTAGCTGTATTAACTTCCTACTTAAAAAAAAAAAAAAAGACACAGGAAGAAAAAGACCAGAACACCTATGGCAGGGCCATGGCCTTGGCTGTTTGCAACAGTACGCTCCATTACTTTCTGCATGTCTATAATTTTAGGTAGTAAAAACAGTTTAAAGAAAGGAAATAACAAACATACAAGTTGATCCCACCTATAGCTCTCAAGAGGTAAACAAGAGTCCTTAATAAGAGATCTTTCTTTCTTTGCTTGGGAAGATGACAAATTTTTAAAAACCAGGCAAGCCAGTGGCAAACTTTGGCTTCAGTTCAGTTGCCCAGTCAAGTCCGACTCTGTGCGACTCCATGGACTGCAGCACACCAGGCTTCCCCGTCCATCACCAACTCCCAGAGTTTACTCAAACTCATGTCCATTGAGTCGGTGTTGCCATCCAACCATCTCATCCTCTCTTGTCCCCTTCTCCTCCCACCTTCAATCTTTCCCAGCATCAGGGTCTTTTCAAATGAGTCAGTTCTTCACATCAGGTGGCCAAAGTACTGGAGTTTCAGCTTCAGCATCAGTCCTTCCAATGAATGTTCAGGACTGATTCTGGCTTAGAGATTTATAATTTACAATCTCTTTGCAACAATTCTACTAAAATAAAATTCTAATCCCAAGAACCGTGCAGAACAATCCTGCAGCCCTGGGGAGCTTGTCCCTCAGGAAGAGGGCGCCTCGGGTGGGAGGGCCAGTCAGGGTGAGGAGGCCCCACCTTCACACCTCAGAATGCTGAGGACCAAGCCATGAGTGAATCGCTCCAGGGAGAGGCCATGGGCCACCCGCAGGCCCCCTGAACAAGGCAGGGTCGGGGGAGGGCAGAGGAGGGCACCGCTGAGCCTGCCCTCAGCTTAGTGTCTGCAGGCTGACGACATGGCACCCCAGTCAGTGTTAAGTCACCAGTGCACCACCGTTCCCAAAGACGATGGAGCGGGGGTGCAGGGAGAGCTCCTAACCCGTCCTTCTCTGGGAAGGTCTGACTGCACTGCTACAGGCTGCAGACCGCGCCCCCCACCCCCTGCCCCCGGAACAAGTCCTCTTCTCTCCGGCTGCTCAGCTGGTGGGCACTTTTCCTACCAAGGAGTGATGAGAGGAGGGAAAAGCCATTCCAAGGAGGCAGCCCCCTGGGACCAGAGTGACCCTCCCAGCCTGGAAATTCGTGCACAGCACATGCAGAAGAGCCTGTTCCGCCTGCTGGGCTCCCAGGGCAGGTCGCCTGGGAGCGAGGCTCGTTACCCATTTCTCCCTGTCAGCTTGAGAGCGGCGCTCCCCAACCCGAGGATCAAGTTCACTCAGTTGCACAGAATGCTAATGGCTCCCCTAAGCCCTAGTTTATGCAGAATTTGTTCTTGGTCTCAGCTGATTCCCTCTCAGGCTCCTTTGTTAAGAGATTTCAGAATGATGGGAGGTTTCACTGACTGCGCAAACTTTATCCTTCTCAATAATTAAATTTACAGACCCCGAGACTCGGTTCATTTTTCAACATAAAATTTACATCCCGACACTTATTAAATATTGACACTGCTCTCCCTTCAACGTACGGCACAGCCATCTTCTAAGAGTCAAGTCTGGGGGGCCTCCTTCTGATTAGGGCTGGTCTGTGAGTGGCATGTTGCTTAGTGAACTGGGGGAATCTTCATCAGGAATTCATGGCATGTGCACGGGAGAAAGTGAAATGAACGTTATGAATGGCATGTCACCATGCTACGCGCCCAGTTACGCAAACACTCGGGGTGCTCAGCCAGGGCTGCACGTCTTCCTAATCACGCGGGGACCCGAGAGATGGGGCCTTTCAGAGACACTCACCAGGAACAGCTCTCCTGACAGCCAGGCTCACGGGCTCATTGGACTGCGGCAACCTTCGGCTGCCTCAGACCTTGGCATCCCACCTCGGATGTGGTATTTACAGGCTGTGAGGCTAGGAAGTGACACCTGCCCAGCAACTCCCAAGCTCCTCCAACACCCGCAGGAAGGCAGTCCTTAATAATAATTACCCCTGGTCTCCTGGACAAGGGAAGGTCAGCTTGGTTCAGCAGGCTTTTCACCAGGTGCCTGCACCTGCTGAGCTAGTGTCAGGGCAGGCAGGTCTTCAAAACACAAGAGGTTATACAGGTGGTGCCCCGCCACGTCGCCTCTGCTAAAGCTAAGCCCAGATTCTGCTCCTGTCAACTCCGAATCTATGACTTCAGCAGTCCATGAAAATAAACGCCAACTGGGCAGCTCGTTGAAGAAAGGAAGGAAAGACTCTTATTGAGGGCTGTGAGGAACTGTGGGGCTTGGCAGTGGCAACCCCCCAAGTAAGAAAGATAGAGACACAAATAACCAAACAACGGGAGAATGATGGGGGTGTATGGTGGAGGAGGAACAGCAGCCTTTAATTCCACTTTAATTCTGTTGGCAGAGGGTTCCAAACTTTAAGAAAGCACCAAGAATGAAAACCAAATCCCAGGGTATCTGGAGATTGTTAAGCCTCGAAGGACACGCAAGAAACAGCAATGGCTGTTCGGTACGGCCCTTCCAAGAGGCTGGCCTGAAACTCCCGGACTCCTGGGCTCTGGCGCCCAGGCTGACTGACCAGCCACAAGGGCTGCTGAAACCAGAGCCAAGAGGGTGGAGGCAGAAAGAAATCCTTTGGGGCCTGAGAGAAGAATCTTCTAAAAATTCAGTTGTTTTCTAAAGATTAGCTAATTTGAAAATAAGAATTAAACTTATTCAACCCTGGCCTATTCCTCCCACCAAACTTTACATTTTCCCCTTTGAAATCCAAAAAGGATTGCATCAAAGCTCTGCTATGCAAGCAGCGTTTTCCGTGCCGAGCCATGTTGTCCAACACTTTGCTGTAATACCTACCCCTCCCCCGACTTTGAGGCTGTTCCACTCATTCCAGGAATACGACCCCACCCAACAGAGTCCCCTCGACTGTGACCTGATGACCCCGTGCGCTGAGAAGTCTCCAGGTGCTGGGACAGCTGAATGGAGAGTCTTTGCTTGGGGCGGGGCGGAGGAGGGGGGGGGGTCAAGAAACCTAGGACACGCTCATGAGCTGCCCAGCAGTGGGCACTGCCTGGTCAGCTCCCCATGGACTACCTGGAACGAAAGGAACCCACCTGGCACACACCAGCTTCCAGACAGGCAGCTGGGCTTCCTCGTTAAGATGACTCTCAAATGCTGCAGATCATGCATCCACGCAGGCCTTGCTCTCTCCCCCGCTTTAACAATATTTCAGACCAACCCCCAGCTAATGAGTTGTCAAACTAGATCATTCCTGCCCTGCATCTGTTCCAAGGATGCTGATTAAACAACTCCAGGGAAAAGAAACCATTATCCTGTTCAGTACAGACCTCGCCTGATTACTGCGGTGCAGCATGGCTCGCCCTGGGTAAACAGCACAGATGGGAAGCAAGCTGTCAGCTCCAGGAAATCACCTCCCCCCCATGGGTGGTGCACTCTGTTCTAATTCACTGAAAAGGCTCCCCTGCGGCCTGAAGGCAAGGTTTCAAAGGGCCCAGCACCCTGGAATCTATCCCGCAGAATGGAAGGACCTAGCTTCACAGCTGGGCTGAGAACAATGACCTGCAAAGCATGCTGATGAGGCCGCATCCTGGTCAACCGTCAACAGCAGACTATGCTGTTTGTCGTATAGACCCTGGTGCTGATGTAAAGACATGGGCAGTGACGGAAAGAATCAGAAAAACATCAGATGAGAACACTGAAAACAGACATGTACTGTGTGTCTCTATGGTACAAGTCAATGTGTGAGAATAGCCATGAAAATGCTCGCAAGATTAAGAAAAGGGGACTAGGAACTTCCCTGGTTGGTCCAGTGGTTAAGACTCTGCTTTCCAATGCAGGGGGCATGGGCATGATCCCTGGTCAGGTAACTAAGATCCCTGTTTGCCGCCAAGGTTTGGCCAAAAAAAAGGACTAGCCCTACCAGATATTAAAATATATTTTCAAGTCATACAATTAAAAAGTCTGGCATTGGTGTATGAAGAGACAGACCAATGAAAGAGAATACACCTAAATACAAATGTAAATTTGGTATACTTCAAATGTATAAGAAAAGATGAATTTAGAAAGCACAGGTATAGTAAATATATTAATGAGGTATCATCTTTATCAGTCAGTGACAGAGAGGTTTTTGCAAGTCTGAGAACATACTGCTGAGGAGGGGAAAGGGAACATGCTCTCACAACACTGCTGGTGAGAAAACACATCTGCACAATTCCTAAAGAAAGTAACTTGGCACCATCTATACAAGTTTTAGATATGCATAACCTTCAATCAGTTCTAGCAACTTATCTTGCATAACTTGGACTGTACACAAAGAAGTATGTGCAGTGTAATTTCAAAATGCTGGTCATGACCCTCCAGTGGGGTCTACGGAATAAATTTAGTGGATTATGCCCAGAATGTTTTAAAATGAAACAGAACAGAATGGTATACAAAATATCAGAGTGCATTACATACAGTAAGAGTAATGAGTAGGGTTTCCTGAACCTTCTGTTACTAGCCTGTATATGGGACGGTGGTGTAAAGCTTTTTTTTTTTAACAGTGGGCCGAGATTTTTTTTTAAAGACTTGAAATCCATATCATAACGGCATTATAATAGCAAAAGACTGGAAATGGCCTAAAAATTGGCCAACAGGGGACTGCTTAAAAAAATGACGGTCCATCCGTACTATGGAGTCATTAAGAAGAATGAGGCAGCTCTGAATGTGCTGCCATAAAACAATCTCCAAAATATATTATTAGATTGGAAAAGCAAGATGCGGAACTGTGTAGATTATGTATCACTTGTGTTTCTTAAAAAGTATAAACAAGTATACACAGGGGAACTATGGCAGAAACTGGTCACAGTGGTTGCCTCTGGGCAGGGGAACTGAATTAGGGGACAGAATTATGTTTCATGGCGATTGATTTTCTTTTTTTTAAACCATATGCATGCATTACACGTTATTAAAAAATATATACACCATCTGGACCCATGCTGACAATTCACCTATCTACACCCTCAATTACAACATGAAGCAGACAGTGGAATCTGAGCTTGGTTCCATTAATGACTCACTATGTGATCTTCAACAAAGAAATTTTATCCCTCTAAACCTTCACTGGGGGCTTCCTTGATAGCTCAATTGGTGAAGAATCTGCCTGTAATGCTGGAGAACCCAGTTTGATTCCTGGGTCAGAAAGATCCGCTGGAGAAGGGATAGGTTACCCACTCCAGTATTCTTGGGCTTCTCTCACGGCTCAGCTGATAAAGAATCTGCCTGCAATACAGGAGACCTGTGTTCAAGCCCTGGACTGGGAAGCTCCCCTGGAGAAGGGATAGGCTACCCATGCCAGTATTCTGACCTGGAGAATTCCAAGGACTATCTAGTCCCCGGGGTCGCAAAGAGTCAGACACAACTAAGTGACTTTCACTTTCAAATCTTCATTTCCTTAGTGCAAAAATGCAGATAAAAGCAGTATCTGTCCTGAGGACAAAGTTCAGTTCAGTTCAGTTGCTCAGTCGTGTCCGACTCTTTGCAACCCCATGAATTGCAGCACGCTAGGCCTCCCTGTCCATCACAAACTCCCAGAGTTTACTCAAACTCATGTCCATCGAGTCGGTGATAGCATCCAGCCGTCTCATCCTCTGTCGTCCCCTTCTCCTCCTGCCCCCAATCCCTCCCAGCATCAGGGTCTTTTCCAGTGAGTCAACTCTTCGCGTGAGGTGGCCAAAGTACTGGAGTTTCAGCTTCAGGTCCTTCCAATGAACACTCAGGACTTATCTCCTTCAGGATGGACTGGCTGGATCTCCTTGCAGTCCAAGGGACTCTCAAGAGTCTTCTCCAACACCACAGTTCAAAAGCATCAGTTTTTCGGCGCTCAGCTTTCTTCACAGTCCAACTCTCACATCCATACATGACCACTGGAAAAACCATAGCCTTGACCAGACGGACCTTTGTTGGCCAAGTAATGTCTCTGCTTTTTAATATGCTATCTAGGTTGGTCATAACTTTCCTTCCAAGGAGTAAGCGTCTTTAAATTTCATGGCTGCAGTCACCATCTGCAGTGATTTTGGAGCCCCCAAAAATAAAGTCTGACACTGTTTCCACTGTCTCCCCACCTACTTCCCATGAGGTGATGGGACCAGATGCCATGATCTTAGTTTTCTACATGTTGAGCTTTAAGCCAACTTTTTCACTCTCCTCTTTCACTTTCATCAAGAGGCTGTTTAGTTCCTCTTCACTTTCTGCCATAAGGGTGGTGTCATCTGCATATCTGAGGTTATTGACATTTCTCCCGGCAATCTTAATTCCAGCTTGTGCTTCTTCCAGCCCAGCATTTCTCATGATGTACTCTGCATATAAGTTAAATAAGCAGGATGACAATATACAGCCTTGACGTACTCCTTTTCCTACTTGGAACCAGTCTGTTGTTCCACGGCCAGTTCTAACTATAGCTTCCTGACCTGCATACAGGTTTCTAAAGAGGCAGGTCAGGTGGTCTGGTATTCCCATCTCCTTCAGAATTTTCCACAGTTTACTGTGATCCACACAGTTGAAGGCTTTGGTGTAGCCAATAAAGCAGAAATAGATGTTTTTCTGGAACTCTCTTGCTTTTTCGATGATCCAGCGGATATTGGCAATTTGATCTCTGGTTCCTCTGCCTTTTCTAAAACCAGCTTGAACATCTGGAACTTCTCGGTTCGCGTATTGCTGAAGCCTGGCTTGGAGAATTTTGAGCGTTACTTTACTAGCATGTGAGATGAGTGCAATTGTGTGGTAGTTTGAGCATTCTTTGGGATTGCCTTTCTTAGGGATTAGAAAGAAAATGGACCTTTTCCAGTCCTGTGGCCACTGCTGAGTTTTCCAAATTCGCTGGACTCTTAACGACTGTTTACAGGAAGATCAAGAAACCATATAAATCAACTCCTTTACAAAACTATAGCTCAGGTTTGGAGACATATAGGTATAATGTGATCCTATTTTTATTTAAAAATATTACACACACACGTGATTTTATCTACAGGAGGAAGGCCACGTACCACACTTGTTTTGGAGAGGTACTATTAAGGTGATCTTTCACTTTAAAAATAACCACCTATTGTGTGAATTCTTCTCACTAAGGATAAATTACTATCACAACAAGAGATTTTCTAAAAAGGGAGAGTCTTAATGTAAGAAGTCAGTCCAAAACCCAACAGATAGTCCACCTGTCTTAGGAAACTGCTGACTACACCACTCCAGGAGGACAATGAAAGAACATCAGGCTGCGGACCTGTAACTTCACACGGCTGCTCCTCCACAGAGGGTCTTTGACCAGGCTAGTGGGATGATGCCTGCTGTTTCAAACATCTTCTTGCTTTGCTGCAAGAACTTAGCAACCCAGCAGCAGGTTCTCTGGCCCCGCCCCTGCCCTGGCCCCCTACCTTGCCATCAGAAGCAGTGTTGATGCGGTAGTGGTACACCCTCCCTTCGTATCTCAGCGAGATGGACCTCTGCCCAGGACTACTCTCGCTCTCCCGAACCAAGAAGCTGCCGTTGATCCCGCTGCTCAGAAGGTACTCGGCGGCGTTGCGGGACACAGGCCCGTGGTACCAGGAGTGCTTCTCCAGGCTGTTGACTGGCGTGATGTAGTTGCTTGGGACCCAGCCTTGGCCATTTTTGGTTTGGGCTTCACACCACTCCCCATTGTGATTGTAGCCTAAGACCCGGAGTTTTTCACCTTAGAAGAAAAGAACCCGAACCAGACATGTCAGTTTTAAAAGCTAACACGTTCATTCTTATTCACTCTTCTGTGATTACTAAAAAAAAAAATCTCCAAATTCCTAAATACCTACTTCATTTTAACAGGTCCATATAAATATATGCATTTAGAACTGTATGAGTATACAGTTTCCTGTTTACAGTGAATATGTAGATAAATACATAGCCACAGTTTTTTATAAATCTATTATTCAAGTACCCTAGTTTCTAATATATGGAAGCTTTTTGTAGAAAAATACTTTTTCTTAAAAAAAAAAAAAAGCGTTTTCAGTGTTTGGTTCAAATGTCTTTTTCAATACAAAATAGAGAAAGCTCTGCTTTTGCTAAGAACTATACAAGAACTTTTCTCCTGAAGGAAAAGTGACTCTCATAAAGGTGCTCTTAGTTTTCCTGGCTCTCTCTGGATTCCAAACAGCTCTTTCAACAAGCAAAGGGTGGCCAGTCAAGCCGCATCTCCCCCGCTCTCTGTCTCCTGCAACCACCAGCAGCCATCCACAGCTCCTTTACCTTTAGTTATGCTTAAAGTGTTATCCCCACTGGCCACAAAGTCATACAGTGCAACAAAAAGGTTGGGGTCATTTTCACTAGGACCGGCGAGAAGGTTTTCCTTAGAGTTCCAACGAGCTGCTTCGCTCAGACCCTGGGGCTCGAAGTCAGATGCTACTGGCCTCTGAAGGGCTTCTGGAAGAGAAAGAGAACAAACAGGGAAAAAAAGTTTCATTCTCAGGAGCAAAGTCCTGATTTACTTTTACTTCTTAACATATGTACATACTACTTATTAATAAAAAAAGAGGGTTAAAAAATGGGACTCTTCCATTCCCAAATCTTGTGAAAAATCCTAAGCATTTACATTCCAGAGAGGTAACTACTTACTGTTGCCAAACGATTTAAACTTTACGTTCTTTAACTCAAAATGAATTCTGTGAGAAAGAGACGGTCCATCCTCACACCTCTTTGCCATTGCTAATTTATGTTATAATACAGGGCAAAAGCTTCTTGCTTTAAAATGTTTTCAAATGTTAACATACATACATAATTTAAAAATCAAACAGTGCTGAAGGGCTTATAATGAAGGACAAACATTTTCCATCCCATTCTTCTGTTACCCAGAGGTAACAGTTGCCTTATTTTGGTGATCACCTCCATCTCTCTAAACACAAGCTATCCTATCATTACAACTGCCCCTCCCTCTCCCACACCAGGCTCTACTACTTACCTTTCTATTTTCAGTAACAGATTTACACTTTAATTTCCTGTTCTCCCTGCTAGAGTCAGTATCTCTCAATGATTTACCTCACAAGATAAGGATATTAACATTCTACCCTTCCTTCTACCTGCCCCCACTTCCCCACATACACACTCCAAGTAGGCCTTCTTTTCATTTTCTTTTACTTTGTGTAGAAGAAGTTCTGTTCTTCTATTTTGTCATAACAAAGTCTTCCATTTTTGTCTATAGGTATATTCTAAAAGTTGAAAACCAATCAACGTCTTTTATATTAGCAACGTGTGATTATTACTCACTAAGGGGTTAAACACAGCTCAGTATTTTTTCCTGAAGTTTCTTCTTTTGCTTTTTTTTTTCAAACTATGTTCGAACTCTCCACAGGTTCTTTCAAGACAGCAAATCTACTCCAAGTAGATCTTAACAGTTACAGAATATTATGGGGCGAAATTCAAATACTCATTTAAGGACACTACAGTAAGAAATCAAAACTTTTAAAAAGGAGGAAAATGGAAAATTCTAATTTTTATGCCAAAACACAAAAGCAAGAAAACAAAATTGTTCCAGTTTTTCCCTTTTTTATGGATTTGGAGGACCCAAACATGTTTTCTTGGGGAATGACACCCATCTCAGGGGTGGGCATGATTTTCCAGTAGTTGCTTCAAAGGACACACTAGAGGCACCTAAAGTATCTGAGAGACTAGGCTAACCTTCCAGAAACAAGACTGGAGAACTTTCAGAAACAAACACTCTTTAAACAATCTCTTTGAAATAAACCAATAGAACATAAATAAGAAGCCCTTTCTATCCTAGTTTTTGTACTCCTGACTATAGTGAATTTTGAGGAATTGTTTTTCTAAAGAGTAAGCCCCAAATTACGTCATTACTGCGCTTGGTAATTTCACCCTGTGAATCATGAGGGCAAAGAGAATTTCAAGGAAGAGGGTCTTGTGACACTACCATTTCCTAGAATGTGCAAAAGGCTTAGTGAGATGTGTTAGGCCCTGTTCTCTGAGTACTTACAGTATATAGCTCTAAAAGCATATCTAGTGCCATCGTGATCAGAGGCTGACCAATCAACCAAAAAAGCTGGTTAAAGCAGGGAATTCTTAAAAATTGAAACATGAGATCCCCTAGCCCACCTGAATGTACACTGATTTGCTAGTCTTGACAATAGGGCCGAGGACTGTTCTGAGTGTGGGTGTGTGATTAGACTTGGATGCTGTCTTACCATCCTACCTATGATGCCTCATCTCAGTTCCAGCTCTACATTCCTGCAGGTGGAAGAAGAGGGTGGGCCATTCGCTATAAAATCCCAGTACAATCCCTTCTAACTGTTCACAGTTGTGTCCTTCACACCTAGTCCTGAAACAGCTTTTTAAAAAAGACACCTGCATTTACAGAGTCTATCTAAAGCACTGACCTAAATTTTCACAGAGACGAATCTCTTCACATTTGGATTTCACTGCTTTCATATGAACCGAGTAATAAAACAAGTATATCTGAAATAAAGGGACGTGGGAAGAAAAACAAGTGGCTCTGGGTGTGCTTGTGACTCGGAGTGGGAGCAGAATGTGGCAGAGGAGCGGCTGCTCGACTCTGTGGGCACCAGAGAGGCGTGTGTTATGAAGGGAGCCAGGCTGCTCCATGCTGCAGCGAGTCAGTTAAGTGAAAGCCAAGTCAACAGAGCTTCTATGGTCGTTGTATTAAGCAGACTTATTAGGCAAAGGATCCTTAACATAAAACAACTCTTGCAAATGAAAAGGGAAAAGATAAAACCCTCCTCCAAGGAAAAATGGAGAAGGAAAATGGCAACCCACTCCAGTATTCTTGCCTGGAGAATTCCATGGACAGAGAAGCCTGGCGAGCCACAGTCCATGGGGTCACAAAGAGTTGGAAATGACTGAGCGACTAACATACACACTCCCACTATGGAAAAACAGATCAAAACTATGAATAAGCAATGCACAGAAACTTTAAATTACTACTAAACAAGGAAAAGCAGAGACATTACATTGCCAACAAAGGTCCATCTAGTCAAGGCTATGGTTTTTCCAGTGGTCATGTATGGATGTGAGAGTTGGACTGTGAAGAAAGCTGAGCGCCGAAAAATTGATGCTTTTGAACTGTGGTGTTGGAGAAGACTCTTGAGAGTCCCTTGGACTGCAAGGAGATCCAGCCAGTCCATCCTAAAGGAGATCAGTCCTGGGTGTTCATTGGAAGGACTGATGCTGAAGCTGAAACTCCAATACTTTGGTTACCTCATGCGAACAGTTGACTCACTGGAAAAGACCCTGATGCTGGGAGGGGTTGGGGGCAGGAGGAGAAGGGGACGATAGGGGATGAGATGGCTGGATGGCATCACCGACTCAATGGGCATGAGTATGAGTAAACTCCAGGAGTTTGTGATGGACAGGGAGGCCTGGCGTGCTGCGATTCATGGGGTCGCAAAGAGTCGGACATGACTGAGCGACTGAGCTAAACTGAAACAAGGAAAGCATGTTAACCTTTCTTATAATCAAAGAAAGGCAAATTCTCTGTCAAGTTGGCAGGTACCTTTTCTTGAGGCTAACAGTGTAAAACTTCAATGAAATGGGCATTCTCACACAATGCTAGTAGTTGATGTAGACACTGCTGGAACATTTTAAGAGAAAAACTGGAAACATGAACTGAACTGAGTCTTTGAAGAATTCTATCACCTTCGATATACCTCAAGGAATTTATCCCAGGAGACCCAAACAATGATTTGTATATGCTCAGTCACTCAGATGTGTTGACTCTTTGAGACCCCACTGACTGTAGCCCGTCAGGCACCTCTGTCCATGGAATTTTCCAGGCAAAAATACTGGATTGGGTTGCCATTTCACTCTCCAATGATTTGTATGCACTGATTTTTAAAATAACAGCACCAAAAAGGAAAAGCACAAAATATTTATCCATTCAAGATAGGTTAGTCTGTGGTGTATCCATAAAATAGAATATAGCCATAATGTCATTCAAAATACTTTTGGAAAAATGTATCTAACAACTTGGAAATATACTATAATAATGCATAATTTTATAAAAATTGAAAAAAGTCCAGAAGGAACTACACCAAAATGTGAACAGTAGTTAATGCATGATAGTGTGCCAATAGTACCATTAATAGTAGTTTAACACAGGGTGGTGTGATTACAAACATTTTAAGTTTTCTTTTTTCTTTTCTATATACTGGAATACTTCTCTCACCATGAATGTGAACTGTTTCCATAACCAGAGAACAATTACAAGAATAGAAAAACGGTCATATAGAAGCCAGCTGATGCTCACATAATTGATCATCTAACGTGAAAAAGTACACAGGGAGAGGGGGCACTCTTCTCTCTCTGTCCTGAAAAAGTCCATGTGCGTTTCCCTGCAGGATCCCAACTTCGTAGGCGTGAGTACACGACTCTGGCAGACCAGGGCTACACAGGAAATTAAACCAGAGTCATGAATACAGAAATGCTTTTCTTCTCAAAGGCCATCTGACCTCTTCTATCAAACATTCTGCAGCATCTGGATTTGATCAAAGTTACATAATCGGGGGAAGTGGCCTGGAAAACACCTGGAATGGGCAGAACACAGACACCAGCCGTGGGGTGACTATCGATTTAAAGTGTGGATTATTAAAGGGGGACTGTCCCTCACATGGAGACAGATGCCGAGAACTTCATGTGAGGGGATGAGGCCTCTCTGTCAGGAAGGAAAGGGCCTCCCACTGCCTTTTGATTCAACAGGACGTCAGGAAATCCAAGGCAGCCTCTCGATTTTCCTCTCCAGCTCTTGCTCCATTCCACAAATTAATGGCCAAAGCCCAAAGGGAAGTATTGCTCATGCATGCCTCTGGATCGAGACGCTAAAGTGCAGCCACAGTCCAACACCAAAACCTTCCAGTCAATTCCCAATCCAGGCTGATGTCAAAATTGACTCACAACGTATAAATGCCAAGTTACTTGCTTCATTTCATAGCGAACGATGCTCGTCAACCTTAAAAATGATCACAGCTTACAAGGCCCAAGTTGCAGAATGTACTTAAATCTTTCTTGCCTAATACATGAACTTCCTGCCAGTCCCCGGATGGACCCTTAAAGGAGCTCAAAGGATTCATTAAAAAAAAAACGATGCCCAAAATAGCTCCCCTCTTCTGTTCTGCCAACAGATAAAGAAATCCTTGCGTCTATTCTTCTTAAAAATGTTAGCTTAACATTTTCTGCGGCATCCTGAGTCATAGTTTTAAAATATTTAAGATTTTTATCTTCAAGAATGCCTCTCACCTCATTGGAAATCCTTTTGTTATTACCACATCCTTCATGAAAAGGTTTCCACTCACCCACAAAACTCAGGAAAAGTCATTAATTAGCCAGTTGAATACCAAGAATGGTGCTATCTAAAAGTGCTCCAAAGTTACGGCTCCAACTGCGAGAACAACAAACTGAAA